TTGTGGCCGTTGGATTCCCATCATCCAACGGCTGAAATCAATTGATTAAACTCTAACCTATCAGACCCCCTCCCAATCCCCTACCCCTCTCATTTCCAAATCCCCCCAGTCGTCTCCTTCAGAGACGAACCAAACGACCCACCAAACCCTAGCCGCCCTCGTTCCCTTCGCCTGAAAACCTGGCGGCCTGAGGACCGATGACCCTCAAATTCACACCCCTGAACCTTCTAACCACCCTCAACACAAATCCATACCCCTTTAACCTCAAATCATCCCAGTTTGTTTCGAATCTTCAATCAAAGATTCGAGCAAAACCCTAAACCTACCCAACCAGTCCCAAGTTCACACCCCAGCTCCACCTGACCTCCCTCGTTCCCAAACCACCCCTACTTTGGCTCGAATCTTGCTAGAACTGGTCGAAATTTAAATCGATTGAAGAACCCTAGAAAGCCAAAACCTGGAACTTGTCCGAGTAAAGGGGAAATTTGAGGTTCTTAATCGACTTTAGTCAAGTGTTTTCAGTCGAGAACACTCGATTGAGGTCCGTTTGGACCTCAAAAGTTCGAGTCGAAGTTTAAAATGGGAACTGTTTGGAGTTTAGCCTGTAATTTTGAGGTATTTTTCTTCTTTTTCTTTTCTATTTTTGTTGTTGTTTATCTGCTTAAGCTTTATTGTATCTCATCATCTTTTCGATTTATTTCTCTCTTCTCTTTCGGACCTTTTTTCTGGTCTAGTTTTTTTTCTCATGTGGTTGATTGGCATATGTTGAATCGATTGAGTGTGTTTGTCCTTTAGTTTGGTTGTAAAAGTCAGTGTCCGTAATGTTCTTGTAAAAAACTATGTCTAGTCCTGTAATTGGTTACTAGTATTACTAGTTCAAATGGTCTCATTTTCTACGATGTTTGGCTCCTTGTTTTGTTGTTCATCATTTTACATATAAATTCAGTTTATTTTCGTCCAGTATGTTACAGTATTTCATTCATTTTTGTTTAGTTTAGAGTTGTGAATATAGTTAGTCATTCCCACGTAATGTGTCAATCATGGTTGAAAGTTTAACCTGGTTATGTTCAAATATGTTTTGTCCTGATTTGTTGGCCTTCATTTGGATACCATTTGATCTAATCTGAGTTCTAAGTTTGAACTTCTAAGTGAATTTGAATTAAATTGGTTATAGTTGATGTAGTTTGGTGATCAATTAGGAATCAACTTAGTTATTTGATTAGGGAATGAGTTATAGCCGATAGGTTTTGGGTACAGATTGAAAGGGGATTGGGTAGGACAATAATTTCAGTAAGTTCAGGGGGTAATTTGGGAATTAAAAACTTCAAGAAATGGGTATTCTGAGTGTTCTATCCACTAAGCACTAGTGTACCATTAAAATAATGCATTTGTTTAATAATTAGTGGGGAACAAAACATAATGGTATAGGGAGGTTTAAAAGGAATTGATTAAAATATGTCGCCCATACCTGCTTGAACTTTAAATAAAGAAAAGACAAGGGTTAATGGGGACAAAACATACTCTAGTAGAGTTCTAAAGGGATCATGGACAGAATTAGTTTCTTAATTCTGCCTAGTGTTCTTACGAGCTGGCAGGGTCAGTGTTTGGGTATAAATGGAGGGACTTAGGACAGAGTTAGGGGTCCTTTTTTGGGGGTTCAGTCTTTGAGAGAGTCTTCCTTCTTGAATCAGTTTCTGAGAACTAGAACTCATAGAGAGAGTTTGAGAATCAGTTTTCTTGAGAGCTTTTAAAGCTGAATTCTTCTACACTTTGAAACCTTAAGAGTTTGAGAGAGTGCTTTAGACAATCAGCTCACACTGTTACATTGATTTCAAGAGCAGAAATAGTTCAAATCTCTCTGTTCCAGTTCTATGCTTGGATGTTCAGGGCATTTGAAGATATTTGGTGATTTATTCGAGGGTATTGGGTATTATCTGATTGCTGAAAGGTGTCCTATGACTGCCTAGTCTAATTTCTAGTAGATTCAGTGTTTTGGTTAAGCTTCTTTCTTCCTGGGCTTTGTGACTGTGGTTTGGTCTTGAGCTTGGCCCTATTCGTTGTTGCTGATTGTCAACCTGCTGGTGTTATTGTTTGTTGCTGCTACTGTTGCATTGCTGTGGCTGACCTCTTTTTCTTCCATTGTAACTGATTTCTAGGTACACAGCTTGATCTTGGGTAATTGTGAACTGAAATGCTAAGAATGAACCTGTAATTGAAGCATGAGATCACTTGATTTAGTTTTCTAGTTTATGTATCAGAATGTTTGACTTCTTAACGTTATCAAGACCTTTTCTTGAAGTTGTACTAGTTGGATCGAAATTGTTTATGTCGTAATAAACTAAAAATTGTTTGTATTAGCATGGAATGTTAATCGTTTTGTCTCAAATGTATATGAGTTTTCTTCTGCAGTTTAAGTGTTAGTTGTAATTAAGTTCATTTAAATTGGTAGAATAAGTTGGGTTAGCTTCAGCTAGTTGCCTATTATCTTGTGTTGTAAATATGTTTGAAAAAGTAAGCCAACAATAATATAAACCTTTAGTAGTTACCTTTCTTTTCAATTAGCCCTAAAAAGGGATGTTGAGTACCACATTTCATATCTGCTCTAATATCAGGAAGCTGAAGGAAGAAAGTATAAATTACAAAGCAAAACGAATCCACTGTTTAAATATGTCTGATTAAATAATGAGCACATTTGTGAGCCGTTTCATGGCTTGCCCGGCTACAAGGGTTCGCCCCCTTAGCCCCGCCTGTGCGGCTGATTTCGCCCCATCTAGCTTAGGCCCGTCCTAGGCCCAATACCACGCATCTAATAAAAACCCTTGTCCATCGCCTGGATTGGGTTCCTTTGGGCCCAAAAGTTGAAATGACATTTGGTCAACTAGTATTTAGCTGATAGACTATGGGATTCCTTAATAACAATTAATTAGGATCTTTGTTTTATTTTTAGAGACAAACAAAAATAGGAAATCATAGTCGCTTCCAGGCTGGCCTTCTAAATAATAAATGAGATGAGCCTCGCCGGACAAAGTACATAATTTGCGGGGCCCTCGTTAAATGTACATGTTAAAACGCTTAGATTTCGGGACGGGCCGTTTAGCAAATTTCACGGCCTTCCCCAAAATAATAACGCGTTAGTCTCTTTTAGCGCGTATTTTAATAATGTTACCTCCCTGTACTCGGGTGCACATTTATGTGACCCAAATCCAAATCTCAACAAAGTCGGAATGTGTCAAAAATGACGGGTGCATTTATGTGGCGCAGTTTGAGACGCATTTTCACGATGTTGCAATTCTCTTTTAAAATAATAGTAATAAAAGCGGTAAAAAAAATTAAAATTCGCACATAGGTTCAGCATGAATAAAATCAGAAAAATAAGCCGAATATGACAGTCGAGCGACCGTGCTAGAACCACGGAACCCGGGAATGTCTAACACCTTCTCCCAGGTTAACAGAATTCCTTATCCATATTTCTGGTGCGCGGACTGTAATACAAAGTTATTCTTTTCCTCGATTCGGGATTCAACCGGTGACTTGGGACACCATAAATCTCCCAAGTGGCGACTCTGAATCTTTAAATAAAAATCCCGTTTCGATTGTCCTTTAATTGAAAAAACTCCCTTACCCCTCTACGCCCCTGCGGGCGCAGGTAAAAGGGAGGTGTGACAGGAATTAGCACAGAATTTAAGTGTAGTTGAAGTTTTGAATAGGAAAAACACAATAAAGCTGAAAGAGGAATTTTATCAAACACTTACAGGACAAAGAGAGTAAACAACTGCAGCACCACAGGTTTAGGTGAAACAAAAATCAACATGAACCCAACCCTACTACGCATAATATCCATTAAGAAAACCAAATTTTGATTAACAGAGCAAAATACAATATTCAACTAAAAATAATCATAAAGAATACAAATGAGGTGGCAAAGAAGGTTTTACAGTGAGAAGGAGTTAACTTTGGGGTTTAAGCTACAGATAGCTTTTTCTTGCTATAAACACTGTCTCTTCACAATGATACAACCTATAAAAAAAACCACAAACAAAATATTGATATTCCATTTCAGTTTTTGGCCCTAGAAAACTTTGAAATTACACTGACAGAGACAGAAAATCGAAGATTTCAGAAGTGTTTCAGTCTGTGAGGTGGAACAGATATCCCTAATTTAAACACCTATCATTTTTAATCAAATACCAGTGAGTAAAGAAGAATGGCGGAGAAATTCTCGTGTTGTTACTGAGAAATCCAGCAAAAGCTCACGGAGAAAATTCCATAGAAGATACAGAAGAAGAGAGATGCTGGGAGTAAAATTCGATGAAATTTCGTAGAAAACATCGACATGTATCTGTAGATGCATTCTTATCTCATATGCAGCTTACTCAGCAAAATTCAGCGCACGTGTAAGCACAGGGGAAAATAGAAGATATGTGAAAATACCTAAATATCCTTTAGCAGCAAGCAGACATGACGACCTTCAACTGCTTCTCTCGCTCTTCTATATATTAGTAAAATAGGGAAATGATTTCTATAATCCTCAACTGATTTTGGTAGAGAGAGAGAGATTCTGAAGGATCTAGAGAAGTGGTCTATTATTTATAAAAGAGTGCTTAGGCAAAAATCTAAAGTTGTTTGGATCAATCATGAGGATTCCAATTCTAAGTACTTTCATGCTCAACTCAAAGCTAGACAAGGGAGGAATAGTATTGTGTCAATATGGAATGATCAAGAAGTGCAACTAACAGAGCCTACGCAAGTGCAAAGAGAATTCACAGAATTCTTTCAAAAGCTGCTAGGAACAAGTGCTCAAGAGATCCATGCCTAAACACCTACTATGCCAAAGATGGATCATGCCCTCAATAAGGAGCAACGACAAGCTCTTATTCAACCTGTCATAAAAATGAAAGTGATTCAGGCATTGAGGGATTTACCTAATGACAAATCTTCTGGAATTGATGGGTTCACTACAGAATTTTTCAAGGAGTTTTGGGGAATAATATGAGAAGAAGTTACTCAGGCTATCCTACAATTCTTTGACAATGGAAAACTATTAAAGGAGATCAATTGTACTATAATAACATTAGTACCCAAGGTCACTAATCCAACATATGTGAAAGAGTATAGATCTATAGCTTGCTGCACTACCATGTACAAGCTTATAGCAAAAATTCTCATTGCCAGGTTGAAGACAGTAGTGGATTCTTTAGTTGGGCCATCCCAATCAGCTTTCATAGCAGGGAGGAGTATACTGGACAATGTTATAGTGACTCATGAATTAGCTAAGGCTATACTCAGAAAGGATTATCACCTAGATGTCTTATCAAAATTGATATAAGGAAAGCATATGATTCAGTGGAATGGGGTTTTCTAAAGAGTGTACTGTTGAAATTTGGCTTGCCTGGGAAGTTTGTGAATTTGATCATGGAATGTATTACCACAGTGAGCTACTCACTCCTAATCAATGGAGGGCTTATACCTAAGTTTGTGGTAAAAAAGGGATCAAGGCAAGGGGACCTTATGTCTCCCCACCTCTTTGTTCTGGCTATGGAATACTTGAACAGGACTCTGAAGCAACCACAACATAACCCTGACTTCAACTACCATCCAAGGTCTGGGAAGATGAAGTTGGTGCATATATGTTTTGCGGATGATCTCATAATGTGTTGTCGAGCGGATAGAATATCAATCCAGCTGTTGCTTCAAGCATTCGATCATTTCCTGGGTGTTTCTGGTCTTAGAGCAAATTTGGACAAAAGTTCTCTGTATATCACTGGTGTCCCAACAAACCTGAAGGAACAAATCTTAACTGAAATGCAGTTTACTTTATAGGAGATGCCCTTTAAGTATCTTGGTGTTCCCCTCTCTTCTAGGAAGCTCATTATACAACAATGTATGCACTTAGTAGAGAGAATGGCATCAAAAATCAGATGCTGGACTATCAAGCTGCTATCATATAATGGAAGATTTAATTGATCAAAAGCGTACTGTTTGAGATGCAAACATATTGGGCTCACGTCTATCTATTACCAAAGAAAGTAATTCAATTACTAACGAGTATCTGTAGAACATTTCTTTGGACAGGAAGCTGTGAAGCATCGACGAAGGCACTAGTGTCATGGAAACAACTATGTATGCCCAGGTCAACTGGAGGGTTAAATCTCATCAATTTTTACACATGAAACAAAACAGCAATCTGTAAACTTATCTGGGCAGTGATTATAAGAAAAGAGTCTATTTGGGTTCTATGGATTCATGGATTCTATATAAAAAATAGAGACTTAGCCAATATGCCAACACCTAAACAAACATGTTGGCTTGTGAGGAAGATCTTTGATGCAAGAAATTGGTATAGGGACAAGGACCTTACATGGGAACTGCAGAAATGTACTACACATGAGGTTTCAACATAAAGAAAGCTTACCTATCTCTATGTCCACAGTACCAGAAAGTACCTTGGAAACACAATACTATAAGAACACAGCTGATGCCAAGACATCATTTCATACTATGGCTTGCAGTTCGACAACGATTGGCTACCATTGATCGACTGGAAAGATGGGGGATTCATGTTCCTAAAGAATGTGTCTTATGCAGCTCAAGTGAGGATGAAATCTTTACACATCTGTTCTTTGGATGTACTTATTCAAGACAAATATGAGCTACTTTGTTGCGATGGGTAGGAGAACCTAGACAGATAACTACATGGAATGAAGAACTAAATTGGATGACTAAAATAACGAGGGGAGGTAGAGCAAGGCAAGAAATTGTAAGATAGTTGTTTGCTGCTACTGTCTACCATGTCTGACAGGAACAGAATAGTCGAAGGTTTCAGCAGGAAAAGAAAGAAAGTGGGTATCGAATAAGAGAAATTGTCATCCAGTTGCATACTAGAGAGCAGAGGTATCACAAATGACAAAAAGTGTTATCTCTAAATTGTTTTCCTATATAGAAGTAGCAGATTCATTAGATTCTATGTATATGTTGAGATGCTGCTTAGATAGGTATTGACTATAGAGAACTAATCCTAGAGTCCAAAAGGATTAGATGTACATATATACAATTGGTTGAATAAAACTTTTTATTTTAACCCCAAAAAAATGCATATTTCATCAAAAAAATAAGAGAGCCATATTATTCCATAATTATAGTGATTAGCAAACGAAAATAATCTCAAATCAGCAAATGCAATTAGACAAGACCTTTCGTTCCTTTGCAACAAATTGAAACTACTTGGGCTAGTGAGTTTAAATAGGGCCTAATCACTGGATCCAAATGGGTCAATAACCCTCTCCAAACAGGCAGTTTTTATGGGAGAAATTAAAAAATAGGCAGATTTATAACTGGTAGTTTAAAAATAGCCAAATTTCAAAAGTAATCGAAATTTAGCCACTTTTCATGTAAAGATAAATTTGAGCGAAAATACTGTTCAAAATCCGGAAAATATGCCAGCATATTATGCTGGAGTTCCAGCATAAGTATACTTGAACTCCAACATATTATACTGGAGTTTCAAGATAAGTATGCTGGAACTCTAGCATAATATGATGGAGTTCCAGCATCAGTACACTAGAACTCCAACATAATATACTGGAGTTCCAGCAAGTATATATGTCCATCATAATATACTGGAGTTTGGAGCACCGGTGCTCCAGTCTCCAGTATATATACTGGAGCCAGCAAAGTATACCGGTCCAGCATAATATGCTGGAGTTAATACACAGATGCACCGAACTCTAGTATATTATACTGGACCGGTCTCTGTTGCAACAAAATAGTGGCTATTTTTCATTGACTTGGTAAACGCTGGCTATTTTTGAATGACCAGTCCGAAAACTGGCTATACCGTGCTATAATGGGATTTTAACATACTTACCCATCGACCAAAACTGATCACAGTTGCTAGCTCAATGTACTAAAGATATATACTGATTATATAAAATATATATAGTATATGTATATTATATATTAATATACAAATAATATACATTAGCGAGCTATTATTTTGGATGGTGATTATACTATAGGAAAATCTCTTGTAAAAATTGGGTTGGATGATTATTTTTTGGTCCACTTACGAATATTTAACCACTGTTTGACATGTAATTGGGAAATGATTATTTTTAATGCAGAAAAATAATTTAGACAAAACTAACCTTACTTAAAACTCCAACACAATTTATACTAGAGTTGAAAGCACTTACAAGTGAAACTATAGCAATAATTTTGACATGCAATAGGAACCAAAGCAGCTTATCTATAAGGTCTTCTTTATATATCACAGCTTATCTTATCGGAATATTCATATACAATAACAACTCTCAAAATTCAAGTAAGTTTGAATTAACTATACGAATCATCACCAAGTCATATACATGTATGAACTGAAAATGTCTATTAGCAGTAGACCAATAAATAAATGTTAAATCGCCATATCGAAGCGATTTGATGGAGGAAAAACATTCCAAAATATAGAAATTATAAGCCAACTGCTTTGATTCAGCAAAGTCAGAATAAGAAAAATATATCATTAGCTAGTTTTATTTTTGTTTAAGTTGAAAATTAAAAACACTACTATAAATTTTAAGAGAAGTAATTTACTATTTCTGAACATTTTGGCCGTATTCTGAGCAGAATATAATTCCCTAATTAGTTTATCCTACTTTTCTCCGATTATAAATGGTTTCCAATCTGTACGCAGCAAAATTGGTTAGTGACACTAGGTGGACGAATGAAAAAGTGACACGTGGAACTAAAAATAGGTGGGATGTGAGTCAACAAAAAGCTGACACCGGATGCAAGCATGTGACCAGTGATGGGTGAATCCCGAAGACAAAGTAGCCGATAACAAAGATTTGAAGAATTAATATTTGATAGTATTCAACAAGCGATCGTATACAAAGAGTATCTGTATTTATAGCCAACCATTATGCTGATATCAATAACGATTTTATTTTCATTCAAAAGGATGTTGATTTGGGATCTTGTCTCCGTAAATATAGCTATAAATTTTCTTGCGTTTATGTCCCACATGAATTCTATTACAGAAGAATAATACTTGTTTTCTAAGTTGTGGTGGCCTAGCATTATGTTCAAGTTCTTAGTTAGCATTGGATCTTTGAAGTTTGAAAGAGTAGTTGGATATTATTAAAAAAAAAAAAAAAGAAGAAGATTAAGTGTATCATTAATATTATTTATTGTTCCCACTACCAATCTCAGAGGTCTTAGGGCTAAAAATATAATTTATTTTATTTTTTCACGACACTCCCTAGGCATCTTTTCAAGTATTATTCTATCTTCAGTTTTTAAAAATTTAAATATCAGATTATAGTTTGTTATTTTTGTAAGGTTGAGGTTTGGAGCTATTCACGTGGCAGACAAGATTGTACTCAAAACACAGAAATTTTGGTCAAATGTTAATCCTTTACTTATATTATTTGCCTATTTGGTACTTGGCTTTTGGCCCTTATTGTCTATTGTTCTTATTTCTCCCTTTCTTTGCCCTTTGCAATATTTTATCAATCTTGGTTATAATAGAATAAAAGACTAGCATAAAAAATAATAAAAATGAATCTTTTGTCTTGCCTCCTTTTATTTTTCACTTTCCATCAAAAGTAGGAAGATAATTAAACATCGTATCAGAAAATCATTCCTAATTTTTTTTATCAATGCACTTTCAACTCTTATTAGATCAATTAGATCTAGACCAAATTCAGATAATTGTGCGATATGATAAACTTATCCTTGTACCAATAGATCATGTAGGGATTTATTTTTGACAATATCGAATACTCTTACTAATTTTTTATGATCTCTCCAATAATTTTTCTTTTCATATGTTACTTTTTCATTAACTCCAGGGACTTTTCTCATAAAAAAAAACACAAAAACACAATCTAGTCATAGAATTCTCATCCCTCTCTTTCTCGTTAAATTCTCCACTGGCAAAATTAGTTGTCTTGTCCAATGTGCAATAGGGTCCAGTGCTCCGATTAAATTCCCTTTCATTGAATGGTACGTGTTGTAGAAAAACAAAACTTACTCAAAAACACAATTCAAACAGTGGTAAAAAGAATCAATAAATGGTCAAGTTTTAATGGATGATTCTAGTTCCTTACCGAACACAGTGAAGTCATTATTGAGACTCGACCAAGATGGCATCCCTACTTTCAGATTTAAGTCTAAGACGAATAATTTTGTTATTAATGATGCTAACAGTAGATAATTTTGAACGTTGTATAGTGTCGCTAACCTTGTGTACACCATCCTTATGTGAAGTTCATTATAGTCAAAGTGTAATGGAGATCATCTCCTAAATTAGGCAGATCGTCTGGTTCTAAGTGTTCTTAGGGATGATTTGTATCGATCCTCATCTTGCTTTGGAGTCTATGATCTATGTCCTCCTCTGTGTATTAATTATTTTTGATAATATACGGGTTGGGGTCATCGCCTAAACCCCATCATCCACAAATTAAAGGTGGACTTTTGCTATAAAAAAACAGTAGTAAAAGAAATCAAGAAAAATTATTGATTGGGAATCAAATAGTATAACGGTTGTGAATCCAAGATTTTCACTAAGGATTTCAAAATATGAAAAAGTAAACACATGAAGAATATTTGGATTGTGTTAATGATATTTAATGTACAATATAATTTTTCGACAAAACTAATCCAATATACGGTGTAATCACCTTTTATATCACACATCGTGTCAAATTTAAAACATATTCAATTGCATTTCTTAAATATGCAAGTGTTTGCCACAGTCCCTTCGCAAAAATTCGAAGTGAAAAAATCCTATTATAAGAGTTTATAATGCTATATAGAATACACATCCTAGCAATTTTATCGCTAATTTTAACTTTGCTCATATTTTTATTTCACTTTCTTAATTTTTTCTTAATTTACCAGATTAAGCCATATTGAAGCTTCCCAGACAACTCATAGCTTCCCTCTCGCCCAAATAAATGAAACGGAATGAATTAAATCAGTAAGCTCTTTGATTGATTCAGCGCGCACGAAACCAAATTCAATCAAGATAAGAGGGTTTCAAATCCATTTACTATCTCGAGTTTTTTCAGACATATTGCACATTCACTAATGTCGAAACAACTAATGGTCATATGTTCATAGGTGAAAATATTAAAAAATATTAAGTATGTAACAAATCACATCCACTACAAATTTACTAAGTCCAGATCTTGAATCTGTATCTGTATAAGAACTTCTATACTTAAAAATTAATTATAAAAACGAGAGATTGAGAGATGAGATCATAGGATGTGCACATGTACTGTATTTGACTATTATAGTCATTACTGACTAATTAATAGAATCATGTACTTTATTGGTATGCAGCAAATAAAAAAAAAGTGGACAACATTAGCTGGAGCTGTTACACTTTGACTAGGGAAAAAACAAATGCCTTGTTTGGCCAGTCAAAATATACTCAAATAGGCCAGTTGCTTACATAACCTAGTTACTCCCTTTTTATTCCTACTTATACTTATGGATTCATCCAATTTTTATTTTGATACATGAACGTCAAAGTTAAACTCTTTTACGTTTATGCATACATTGGTTGTAACTTTTGAGTTCTTCAATACCCAACTTGTAAGAAAGAGAATCACATTTGGACTATCACGCCTACACTGCTTTGCCCAAAGTAATCTAGAACATCAATTGGAAGAAATAGAAAACTATTAAATCCTGCATTATATGTCCCTTTTTTCTTATAAACAAAAGTTGAGTATCCAAACAGTTGAATTCCAGAAGAGCAAATGGAAATGATTATAAGGGAATTAAGACAATTTTTTTGGAGATCTTAAATAAAGTTAACATAAGCTAAAGTGTATGTTAAAGATTACTTATTGCCAAATCTCGATCCATCTATCACTTACGTCATTTCTCAAAATTTAGAATTTAAGTATGTAGTCATCGTTCCATCATCCAACATGCTTCCAGAGGCGGCTCAATACTGCATGTGGCCTAAAACAAAAATTTAAAAAGAGGCCTCAAAAGACATTCGAGGTTAAGAAAATGCTTTTTCATATTTAATCCTTTCATAATTTCATTAGCTTAAAATTGAAAAATTGTCTAAAAAGTACTTAAAGAATAGAAGAAGATTCTACAAAATCATAGTTATAAACAAAATTGATTCAAGTTGAAGTGAGTTAGACAAATTAAGAAGTTGAGCTCATCCACCATGCGTGAAGTAACAAAAAAGAATAATAAAAATAGGAAGTAAATGCAAATTAATAATCTACAATTTTTAGTATAAACTTTAAAAATTGACAAAAAATGATTAAAACTAATTTGTTTATCACTAATAATAAATACATAATTATTTATACTATATATAATTTGAGTAAATTTGGGGCCTTAATTTTTTGGGGGCCTAAAGCCACTGCTTTCGTGGCTTAAGGGTTGAGCCGTCACTGCTTCTGTCTAAGTAATTTCATACCTTACCACTCTCTTCCGTCACTCTTCTAAGCTTCTTTGCCCTGTGCCTTTAGTCTGCTTTGAATGATATTTCACTCTTTGAGGGTGAGCGAAGTACTTTGAGGGATTATAAAATTATTAGTAAATAAATATATTAAAAAAATGTGATAATTTTAAAAAACTGGTTTGAGCACGGCTTGTAGAGCGTGGTTGCCTTTATCGGAATAAATTTGAATTAATTGGATCAATAGATTTATACCCGATGGTTAAAAATGTGGAGACAAAGGGATGCCTTTTGTTTCTTCTTTTATAAAAAAATTTACTAATAATATTCTTTTTGTGGCAAGGAAGGTGTCGCATCTTTCTTATTCAAACAAAGTATAATTTGGGGATTCAAAGTTCAAAGACATGAACTTTTGATATGAGTGTGTTTGGGTGGGTCAGTCAGTTTGACTGTAGGTACAATCTATTGGCAAAAAAAGACAAAAGTGGTCCCATTCACTCTCTTTCCTAAAATTATTCTACTATTTCATTAGTTGCAATCTACCTATCTTTCTTGCTTTACTTAGATAAGGCCTACTTCTCCTCCTTTTGGCCAACTCTTGTGTTTGTTTCTCTTTGTTCTCTTCTCATTTTTTCCCACTCACATTTCATATATTTTGGTTAGCTTCTCACCCCACTTCTTCTTCTTTCATGTGCTTTGTTCCACTTCAAACTGCAACCTTACAAAACAATCTTACCCCTACTCTTCCACTCTCTTTTTATTGGCTCATAAAAACAGGATATATGTCTTTTAGACACAACTCATTCTGTTATTCCATGTTCAATCAACCAAGTGTAAACTCATCATTCCAACTCTCTTGTCATTTCTACACTTCCCTTTGGAATTAAACAAATATCCCACTTCAAGATTTCTTTTATTTCACTTTTGAATATTTCTTTAAGTACTTTAATATCATGCCGTCGTAAGGTAGGAATAAGGTTTGCATACACATTGTCCTCCCCATACCTCACTTGTGATTTCACTGGGTTTGTTATTGTTGTTGTTGTTGTTACTTTAACATCTTCATCTATATATGTGATTATTCTTGGTTGTTTTTGTTATCCTTTTGGTCAATGAAGGAGCCTGAAATGGCAATTCCTCCCTTGTTTAGGTGTCCAATAAGCTTAGATTTGTTTAAAGATCCAGTCACTTTATGCACAGGCCAAACATATGATAGATCCAGCATTGAAAAATGGCTATCTTCTGGCAATTCAACTTGTCCTGTTACAATGCAGAAACTCCATGACTCTTCTATTGTACCAAACCACACCCTTCGCCATTTGATTCATCAATGGCTTCAATTAAACTGCAGAAATGGTTATGATCTTCATTACTTTCAAGCAATTGATGATTCAATTGTTGGTCTCAAACACAATCTTCAGTCAAAGGAGTCTACATTGGACACAAAAGTTCAAGCACTAGAGAAAGTTCTTGCTTTGTCAGAAGATTTGCCTTTAGAAAACTCTTTCTTGATTCAACTAGACTTCTTCCAAATGATTCTTGAATTAGCATTGGAAAATTCAGTTGATCAAAGTTCAAATTTCCAAGAAAGTCTCATATTTATGGAGAAAGCTCTTGTTTGTGCATTGAAATTGTTGCCATTTAGTGATTTGGGAACTCTCAACATGCTCAAAGAAGATGAATCCAAGTTTACAAACTTCTTGATGCTATTCAAGAATGGGACTTTTATCATCAAGAAAAGCTTGTGTCATTTAATAGTGGCAATTTCATCATCTTTGCAGTCAAAGGAACTTGTAACTATGTTGGGTAAATCCAAGATTTTTATTCAAGAACTTGTTCATGTTATCGAGAACAAATTAGATGGTTGTGAGGAATCAATCAGAGCTCTTTCAGCATTATCTTCTCTCGAACAAAATCGCGAATTTATAGTGAAGGAAAACGCAGTTGAGGCACTCATAACATACATTGTGAATGCTCCAAAATGCCAATATAGAAGCTTACTAGCACCAATATTGGCAATGAAAACAATTGAAACATTGTTAGTAGAAAAAAATGCAAAAGAAGATGTCTTAAATCATCCAAATGGTGTTAGTGCAATTGTGAAGATGGTATTTAGAGTATCATCAGATAATGAAGGAAGTGAAAGTGCAGTGAATTCTTTAATTATTGTGTGTCATGATTTCATGCAAGCTAGGGAAGAAGCTATCTATAGTGGGGTTTTGAGTCAGTTATTGTTACTCCTTCAAAGCCAGTGTAGTGAGAGGACCAAAAATAAGGCAAGAATGTTGCTCAAGTTGTTGAGATCCATGTGCACTGGGGACCAAAAACAAGCATTGTAGATTGCATATACATTGATTACATGATTTCTCAGTTGATGTCCTCTTTGTCTTTGTCTTTGTTATTAAAATTGTATCTAAAAAACATATACTGAGTTTTTTGTATAACCATAAAAAGAAGCATAGAATATAAATGGAGTTTGCAGTTTGCACCAGATGAATGGATGTAGACAATTCAAGATTAACTTTTTTAAAAGGAATAAAAGATGCAAGATTTTAAGGGACTTTTTGGTGTTTTGTCATTAAATCAAGGTACAAAACAAAAATTTATAAATCACCTCTAAAACAAACCAAAATTTTATCCTTACAAGATAAATAGTGTTGTCCACTTGCAGAGTATCAGATTGTAATCTAAAAAATTATGTCCACATATGATACTTACATCAAATCCAAACGATCAATGAAGTGGCTGAAAATCATGAAAAATCAAATTTCAAATCACATTAAACAAAAAATGTATGTAGTTCTTCCATTTTCCTAGCTTTGATGAGCAAAGTTAATGGAAACTATGCCAGTTATTAATAGCAAATACCCTAAAGTCATTTGTAAACGATCATGATTAAATGATACAAATTTATGTGAACACATATTGCATATATTTACTTGTTTGATATAAATATCGAGTGCATGTGAAAAAATTCGGAGAGCGACAACCTATATATGATGGTAAGACAAAATTCATAAGCTAAAAGGAAGGTATATTGTACGTAAAATTCGAATATTTTTTGATTATATAAAGTTAAAATTACTTTAATATACACAATGAAGCTTGTTTTAACGATATATGTAATTTGATTAAAATGTATATATACTACTTATTGTAAAGGAGGGTGTTATAACTGAAACATGAATCTAAGTTCAGACAACAATCTAATTTAATAGTTCCATGACTTTGAATGAAGTTGCTTTCATAAAGTTTTGAATTTTTTTGAAGAATTAACTTATTGGATGCTGCTTATCAAGAATCAATACTTCAACAAACTTAAATTGCGGACCAGTCAAAAAACAAAAGTAAAAGTAGAACAAACAGCTTGTTGCACCAAGTCCCTTTAGAAAATAAGCACCATGTTGAATCCTTCTAGAGAAAAAAATATTCTATTGAATGATCATAGCTTGCTACTTTGAGCTTTCATTAGTCAAAATATTACAATACATGGATAAGTTTATGGGGAGCGTGAAATGAGTGCTAAAAATTTGTTTCTCTGCTTGCGTAGCTAGGAATTTTGTAAGGGTGTTCAAACTTTAAACAAGTCAATAAAATTTTTTGTCAATTAATGGTATAAACTATTTGAAAAAGAGTCAAATAGACCACACGCAGTAGTCTGCGTTTAATTTTGGCAAATAAAATGGGCAGATAATTTTGAACCCATGAACAACATATTACTTTGAACACCCTGAACTGCTGAACTGACTCACTAAACTATATTAAGGGTGTTCAAAATATAATATATAATCATATTCAATAATATTTGACGTATATACGCAATATCATTTTCCAGCAAAGGGCGATCGACCACACTTGGCATAGTGTGTCTACACCACTGTACTTGGGTTGCTTGGTAGGATTAGACCTGTCAAATACGCCGAGTCGACCCACGAACCGGCCCCAATAACCCATTAAAATTAACCCTTTAACCGGTCCATGACCCACAAAACCTTAAACGGACCAACCCATTAATTTAAGCGACCTGGGCCGTTTGACCCACTGAACCGGACCGGACCGAACTGGTAGCTGACCCATGGGTCAACCGGCCCGGACCAGCTCACACACACACACACACATATATATATACNTACCTGGAAATACTGAAAATGCAAAGGAGAAGAGGAAGAAGATGGGGAAATCAGCAGCAGCAAGAAACAGAATAGCAGCAACAACA